AATGGTTAGAGGCACACTGAACCTAAACGTTAAGTTGGAGAGGTCTCGTCTAATGAAGTCAACGCTCCGTCCCCCTCGTGCTCTAATCCAGAATCCCGAAACCTTTCAGCTCGAGTTACGTAACCGCTTCCAGTGCCTAGAAGATTGCAATGCAGTGGACGATATGAACGACAAGCTCGTGGAAACTGTCCATGCGGTCGGAGCTAAGTTCTGCAAGACCCGCCGCAGAAGAACACAAAAACTCTCCGATCACACTCTTAATCTCATGGCTGTTAGACGGGAGATGAGGCTGCAATCGTCAACAGATTTGACAGCATACAGGCAACTGAACAGACAGATCTCCAAATGCATACGGCGAGACTTACGCAACTTTAATACTTCTCGTATTAAAGAAGCGATCGAGCGGAACCAGGGCTCCAAAGTCTTTGCCAGAGATCTGTCTGCCAGAAAGAGCCAACTGTCAAGGCTGAAGACTGAGTGTGGCAACATCGTTTCCGGGACACCTGAGATTTTGAGTGAGATTGAGAGGTTCTATGGGCAGCTGTACACATCATCGTTGGAGCCACACGCAAGTGTGAGTAACGATCCAAGAGCAAGTCTTATCCGACACTATTCCGATGATATCCCGGACGTCAGTCTAAGCGAAATTAGAATGGCTCTCCAGCACCTTAAAAACGGCAGGGCCCCAGGCGAGGATGGAATTACAGCGGAGCTTCTGAAAGCGGGTGGAACACCGGTACTTGAAGTCCTTCAGAAGCTCTTCAATTCCGTCCTCCATGGTGGCACTACTCCAGAGGCGTTGAGCAGAAGTGCGGTGGTCTCGTTCTTTAAGAAAGGCGACAACGCTCTCTTAAAGAACTACAGACCGATTTCCCTTCTGAGCCGCGTCTACGTGCTGTTTTCGAGAGTCATTACGAATCATCTCGCACGCAGACTTGACGACTTCCAGCCTCCCGAACAAGCCGGTTTCCGAAAAGGCTTCAGTACCATAGACCACATACATACCCTGCGGCAGATTGTACAGAAGACTGAAGAGTACAATCTGCCACTTTGCCTGGCGTATGTGAACTATGAGAAAGCCTTTGATTCCGTCGAAATTTGGGCGGTGCTACAGTCCCTTCAGCGGTGCCAAGTTGACTGTCGGTATATCGAAGTGCTGAAGTGTTTGTACAGTAGAGCTACGATGGCTATCCGAGTACAGAACCAGAGCTCGAAACCTATCCAACTGCAGAGAGGTGTAAGACAGGGTGACGTTATATCCCCGAAACTCTTCACCGCTGCATTGGAAGACGTATTCAAGCTACTGGACTGGAAAGGATACGGTATTGACATCAATGGCGAGTACATCACTCACCTTCGATTTGCCGACGATATAGTCCTTATGGCAGAATCGCTGGAGGACTTAAGCACTACGCTCAATGACCTCAATAGTGCCTCCTAACGGATAGGTCTTAAGATGAACATGGACAAAACAAAGATCATGTTCAATGTCCATGTCACACCTATGCCGGTAGTTGTTGGGAGCACTATGCTCGAAGTTGTTGACGAATACGTGTACCTGGGACAAATAGTCCGACTAGGTAAGTCCAACTTCGACCGAGAGGTCAATCGACGGATTCAACTCGGCTGGGCAGCGTTCGGGAAATTACGGCATATCTTTTCGTCAGGTATACCTCAATCTCTAAAAACTAGATTGTACAACCAGTGCGTGTTGCCAGTGATGACTTACGGATCTGAGACGTGGTCCTTCACTGCTGGCCGTATGAGGACGCTTAAGGTCGCTCAGCGAGCTATGGAGAGGGCTATGCTCGGAGTTTCTCTGCGTGATAGACTCAGAAATGAGGATATCCGCAGTGAAACCAGAGTGACCGACATAGCCCAACGGATTAGTAAGCTGAAGTGGCAATGGGCCGGCCATATAGCTCGAAGAACCGATAACCGATGGGGAAGAAAGGTTCTCGAGTGGCAGCCTCGTACCGGTAGGCGTAGTGTAGGGCGACCCCCCACTAGATGGAGTGACGACCTGGTAAGACATGCAGGAAGTCGATGGATGCGGGTGGCTCGGGACCGTGCTTTGTGGCATTACTTGGGGGAGGCCTATGTTCAGCAGTGGACTTGTGAAGGGCTGTAATGATGATGATGATGATGATGAGGCGCTATTATTTATTTTAAATTTATTTATGTAGTAAAACAATACTTCCTTAGTTTTTGTATTAGAAGCATTAATTTTAAAGGCCGATGACAAGCACGCAATATTAACACTATCTCGATGTAAATGAGGTCCAGTGACAAACCGTTTTGTATCGCATGCCAGGGTCCTAAGATACAAGCTGCGCTTAGTTTAGGACCCGCAGCTACCTGTGTTCTTTATAATGTTACTTATTGTTAAAATAAATAAATAAATAAAAAAATATACACTACATCACTTTGTATAAATTTTCACAGAGGTTTGCTTTATAATGTAAACAAGGAATGAAGGGCTTTTTGAAATTCCCACGGGTTCAGGAATATAGAGGATTTCTAATTTTGCTTTAAAGTTGCCATATTTGTAACTAACTATAATTATTCGAAACTTCCCCATTTATCCCAGAACTTTGGCATGTAAGTAGGTATTTATAACCATTAGTAACTTTTTTCAAGAGTTTTTGTAATTACCTCGGGATACGGAATAATTCAATGATCCGGTCTATACGCAGTAATATAATAAATCTATGGGCTCACAGGTGGATTGTGCGGTTTTTTGTAGAATAAGGATGATATACGTGCACGCGGGCCCTATGGTAAAAGGATGCTGTGGTCCATATACATCTACATTTATCCTCGATTAAAACTCAAAATTATTTGCATTTCCGGAAAGGTCTTCGGTTTTCTACATTTTCCTTATACAAAACAACAGAATTTTACAGCTATGTTACGCCGGTATTCTATTGTTCTTACCGTCAGGTGGACTGTCAGTTAGTTTGTCACTTTATTTTATTATAAAAGGGCTATGTATGTGCTGCAGCACCCATCTGTACTTAATCACTACGTAACGAGGGACACGGCGCGACGTTGTTATTAAGTGACAGTGACGAGGGTCTGTACATTAGGTTTAGATGTAGCCATGTTGTTTTGTTTCGTTCCGAGTGCCTGTTTACATGCAACACTGTAATAAGCACTTTTTTATTTATTTAGAACAAGTGATTTTTGTTGTTCCAAACTTGAAGTCTCGAGCTCTTCAGGCAATACTCGAAATTTGAGCTGCAAGATTGCACCCAGAACGACAGACAGACAAACAAGATAGTGACTATTAAAAAATGGTAAAATACTAGTGACCCGTCCCAGTTACCGCTGGGTAGGATCTATCAATGCGGCTTGGTTTAGATTAAAATAACCATCAGAGAACTTCCGAAATCTCCATTGTTTCCCATGAAATTTCATTACAATTGATTCAGCTTTTTATAAAATAAGCCCAAACAGAGACAGATAAAAATAATTTTTGATGTAATAGAATAGAAAAAGCGCGATTCAAGCGCTTGAATGGCTACTGTTCCGTGATTAAGGCGAATAGGCGTGTCGAGATAACGCTTTTTTCTTAATTTTAAATAAAACAGTGTGTGTTAGGGTATAAGAACCAAAATTCAGAAAAGATCGTACAATAAGTCAGGTACCTAGCGTGCGTGGCAAAACGCTCTGGTATATTTTATAGAATAATGGCGACAAACGAGCTCGTACAGTACGTGGATACTGTGACCCACAGGCAACTACATCTATTTCATGGTCTGTGCCGTCGGCTTGACCTGTAATATTACATCTTTCAATTTATCCCCGATACATACGTGTCATAGCTCCCCGTGCCGTCTAGCCGCGCTCTATTCTCGCTCCCCGTACACTTCCAGGGGTGCGCGGGCGGCAAGAACGCAGTGTTCGTCAGTACGCTTTCAATTGACCCGCGATGCACGCGTGTCACTTTGCTGCGCAATTTAACGACGAGTGTTCGTTCGAGATCATAATACTTATTAACTTTGTGATCGACAGTGTTGTGTTTGTTTACGGATTGACTTTATATCATTGTAAGTTAATCACATATTCGTAAGTGCTTGTAATATTTTATTTACCTAGGTTCATTTTTATTCTAGTTATTGTATATGTCCTACACACAGACTATACAATGTTTTTATATGATTTTAGTAATCGTATTATTGTTTCACTCACTCTCCTCGTTTGAGGATTAAGTTATGTCATATACTAAATTCCTAATCTGCGTGCCACACAGCCCAGATTTGCGATCTGCTTATCCTTATCAAGCGAATCCTACGATTTGATCTAGTAAGCTTGTGGATATAACCTTACAACCCGTAACTATTAAAGGCTCAAATATGTGGGCCGCACGGACCGAAACTACGAGCCGTACGGGTCAAAATTACGAGCCGTACGGGTCAATCTGGTGGGCCAAACGGGTCAATCTGGTGGGCCGTACGGGCCGATTTCACAAACCGTATGTGTCAAACTCACAGTCCACACGGATCAATTCTGTGAGCCATGTGGGCCAAACTTGCGAGCCGTAAGGGTCAAACTTTTGAGCCGTACGAATCAATATTATAAACGAACTATACTTATCAATACTTACTGAATTATTTGACCAATTTCTATCTTATCACGAAGGCTTAAGCTAACGGATTAAGATTCTAAAGTATCGTTGTTTACTTGTTTTAGGCAACATCCTCTGCAGAGATGCGCACGCTCGAGTCTCTACTCGGCTGGGAAGTAAATGACCCCGAGGATAATATTGTCTTGAAGAGGACAATAAAACTAATTGATAGTCATTTACCATTGGGTTGGAAAGAATGGAAAATTAGAGTCCTTGATAAGGAAGACTTATTGGGAAACGAATTTGATCCCCAAATTCTTAACAAAATTAGATTTGCCATTCCCACTGTTGGACTCTCCAGAGCTTTTTCTCCTGAGTGCACATCGCTAAAGGAGAAAACTTATAGAGATATAAAATTAAAACTTTTGAAATGGCCACTGTGTGTGGGCCTTATTATACATCTAATGTCTCTGGCGGCAAGAGTACGCGGTTCAGCAGTCCAGAACTAATAATAACCTCCATCTCTGACATGAGACCACTCCTCAAAAGCAGAGAGGAGGCAAATAGGGAACTAGCAGCGCAATCCGAACAATCTGAGGATGAAATATCAGTTCCTTCTACAAGATCTTCATCTAGTAGGTCCAAAAAGCCAAGTCGACTGGACAAATTGGAACAAGGCCAGCGTAAATTGGAAAATATGCTGGAACAATTTATTAAGAGTTTTCAACCAGAAGATCACTCGTATTCGGGCTCGGAGAAGGTCTCAACTTCCCCAGACCCATCAGAAGATGAGAAAAATGCCCCTCAGCTTTCAGTGTCATCACCAAAGCCTTGCGAACCTTCAACATCTTTAGTAAATGAAGACTTCGACTGGACACCTACTACAAGACAACAAGAACCTCTGATACCAACCCCGAGCCAGCACATTGCCACACAGGGTACTGAGTGTCAACGTTTAGGCGATATATCATTTAGTCAGATTCGATACGCTGAGGTTCAGAAGAAATTGCATGCTAGCCCGGTCTTCGGTTCTTTAAAGGTCAACCCTATCCTCACGACCTATGGACCAATCCAATCAAGATCAATTGGTTCGAATGGACTACACTCTGGGCACAATTTCCCATGGTCTTCTGCTTCAACGGGAGGCACTAACTAACACGCTGAAAGATCTAGCAATCAAACACCCAGCTATGAAACAAGACTTGAAAAATATCTTATCGACGGATACACCTTTCAAATCTCTTTCGGATGATCTGCTTCAGTACGTGTGCGGGAGAAGAGCAGAGATTATCGAACAGAGAAGGAATGGGTTCCTTCCAAAAGAAGAGTATCAAGCAGCCCTTCTTGGTGCAATTCCCCCGTCAACCACCCATCTTTTTTGCGAAACACGACTAGCAGAACTACTGAAACAGCCACCTCTCCAAACGTTTTTTCGCATCCCCTATAGAAAACCCTTGCAACCTAAAAACTACAATACCACACCACCCGCACGTCAAACTAGACCAACTTATAAAATCTCAAATACGTCGATATCATTCAATCGACCGCGAAAATCAAATACCAGTAAAACGTACGAAACCTTCAAGCGTCCGTTCGGCACCATAAATAAAGATCAAAGCCAACCCTCTCCCCGTGGCAAGTCTTCTAAAAATTATACGTCAAAAAGAAATAGATATAAATGACGTTTTCAGCGGGGGGGCGACTCTTGCAATTTGTAGAGGTCTGGAAGAGAGAAGGCGCACCATTAAGCATCTTACAAATAATAAAAGGATACACTATCCCCTTTGTCAAAAAGCCCCCGCTAATGCCTTTTCACCCGAAGATACTTACAAAGTTCGAAACAAAAAATTTAGATTCAGAGATCCGGACCCTAATACAGCAGAAGGTAATAGAAAATTCCTCGATTCAGACAGGTTTCTTGTCAACTATGTTTCCAGTTCCAAAACACAACGGCAAAGTACGACCGATAATCAATCTGAAAGGCCTAAACAGATACTTTACCCCGAAGAAATTCAGGTTGTTAAACCACTTCAAAGTACCTCATTTCTTACAAATAGGAGATTTTCTCATGAAAATAGACATTTCTCAGGCATATTTTCACATCCCAATAACCAATCGTCATCGAAGATTCCTGTCAATAGTTCACCAAAGCAAGATTCTACAATTTACATGCCTACCGTTTGGTCTATCAACGGCACCTCTAACCTTCGCAAGAGTGTCAAATTGGATAGCATCACGATTAAGACAGATGAACATAAGAGTTATTGTATACCTCGACGACTTCTTGCTTGCCAACAAGATCCAGTGAAAGTGCAAAACGACGCCAAAATGACAGTACAGTTTCTTGTCAAACTAGGTTGGATAATCAATGTGGAGAAATCTCTACAGAGCCGAGCGAATCGAGTATCTAGGAATAGAATGGGACACAATCCGCAATACAAAAGCGCTCCCGAAAAAGAAAATATTTTCCGTGAGAAAAGATCTCAACAAGATCCTAACAAGTCAAAGATGGAGTTGGCAATCCGCAAAAAGCCTGCTAGGAAAACTAAACTTTGCTTCCTTTGTAATACCCTTGGGAAGACTTCACTCCAGGGAGATACAAAGATTAGCCAACATTTTGCCAGAAGGGTTAGCCCGGAAGAAGTTTCCCACTCCAAGAAAAGCATTCCAACAATGCCAGTGGTGGACTCAAAAACTGGAAGAGAAAGACAATACTCTTTTCAGGTCCTCCGAAACCATTTTCATTACATCAGATGCCTCAGACAAAGGATGGGGAGCGCAGATAAACGAAAAGCACATCAGCGGTATCTGGAACATTTGCCAATCTCGGTGGCATATCAACAAGAAAGAACTATTTGCAGTAATTCTAGCAATTCATTCCGAGAAAGATTCAATAAAAAACAAAAGAGTTGTCATACAATCGAACCGTAATAGCATACATAAAGAATCAGGGTGGAACAAGATCACCACAGCTGACAGAGCTGGTCTCTCAGGTGCTGATAATGACCAAGAGGTTACATGCGGAAATCTGTCCCCAATATATACCGGGGATATACAACGACGTGGCCGACAGCTTGTCTCGGCAGATTCATCTATCAGACTGGCATCTATCAACAAAAATTTGCAGTCGCATTTTTCAGAAGTGGGGCATTCCCGACGTGGACCTGTTTGCATCGAGCAATTCAAAAGTAGTCCCGGTTTATGTATCCCGGGATGCACAGGACAAATAAGCTTTATTCATAGATGCTTTCAGCAAGACATGGGTGTTCAAGTTAGCATGGATTTTTCCACCACCGTCCCTAATTTCTCGAGTGTTAGCCCATCTGAATCAAGCCAAAGGTACATACATTATGATTCTTCCACGCTGGGAAAGGGTATTTTGGAGGTCGGATCTACGATCACGTGCGATAGATCACCCATTTCAAATCCGAAACCTCCACCATCACGTGAAAGATCTAACACCTCAAACAAATTTAACGAAAGCCCGAAACCTGTGTTTGGAGGCTTGGAAGGTACGGGGTGGTCGATTTTAACAAAGAACTGGTCAGAAGAAGACTATCTTCTCATACAAAAAGCATGGCGTAATTCGTCGCTTAAAACATACCGAGCACCATGGAAAACATGGGTAGAAAGATGTCATCTTCGTGGTCTCAACCCCAACAAGCCAGATGCAGCCTCAGTAGCACAACATTTAAGTTTTCTATACAGAGTAAAGAAGCTTTCACCTAGCTCTATAAAACTACATAAATCTGTCATTGCTACCTTTGCTGACCCAGTCAATAGGGATTCTATTACAGACAGCTCGGTAATTAAACAAATTATCAAGGCCATTGAATTATCAAAGCCACCTACACTTAACAGGCAAATTTGGGATGTTAAGCTACTGATTAAATGGCTAGAGAACATTCAAATACAGGAAGATAGTATTTTTCAAGTATTGCGACATCTGGCTCTATTATTATTGCTGGCATCTGGGAGAAGGATCCATGACCTCACTTTACTTAATATTGATGAAAATAGCATGGCAATAGATAAGTCTTCTGTTACATTTTGGCCGGAGTTTGGGTCAAAAACCGATAACCGGTCATACAGACAATCCACTTGGAGGCTTTTACAAGTCCCAAACGAGAAACTTGATCCAGTTCGATGGGTAAAAGTTCATCTTGCCGCTTCAAATTCGAGAAGAAACGCGGGCGAAAAAAAAGAGATAAATTCTTTGTTTATTACATCTAGAGGTCGAGTAGCAGCTGCATCTAAAGCAGTTATAGCTGGATGAATTAAAACTGTTTTTTCAGAATTACACATTAATTTTTCACCGGGTAGCATTAGGTCCGCTGTTGCTTCTTCTAGAAAGAAGGATGACGTCCCAATAGATGTAATACTAAGAAATGGTAACTGGAAAAGCGAGAGAAATGTAGTGAGACATTATTTTAAAGATATAATCAGTATTCCTTCCAAAGATGATGATTCTAATGACTTAAGTTTTGTCAATACTAGCTTCACTACTGTATGATAAATTTTGTTTAATTATAATTACTTACTTGTCTGATTAATTGTTTGGTTGATTTTTATATTTAGCTAATAAACAATAAGTTTTTTTTTTCTTTTTTCTCGGTTTATTTTAAAATACAAGTACTTACAAATATTTTATCCTCTTATTCACATTTGAAACAGAACACTAAATAAATATCTTTCACAGTACGCTATCCCCGTGTCGTCAGAATCCAAAGATTTCTCACAGGTCAAGCCGACGGCACAGACCATGAAATAGCAAATGTTTTTCCCCCCGAAGGGATAAAAACGATATTTTTACGATTTCATGTCATGCCTAGGCTTGACCAGGAAAGCCCTTGACGACTCTAATATCAAGGTACTGACGAACACCGCGTTCTTGCCACCCGCACACCCCTGGAAGGGTACGGGGAGCGAGAATAGAGCGCGGCTAGACGTCACGGGGAGCTATGACACGTATGTATCTAGGGATAAATTGAAGGATGTAATCTCACAGGTCAAGCCTAGGCAAGACATGAAATATATCGTTTTTATCCCTTCGAGGGAAAAACGTTTGCTATTATCGATTAAGAATGCTGTTGCATTGTCACCCCTGAGGACTAAAACGAAATACCTTGTAGGCAATAATAAGGATATCTAGTTCCTCACACTCACCATATGAAACACAGCAGCATTACTTTGCTGTGTCACAATGCTATTCTGTAAAAGGTCGATCCGACTCTTTCGTGATGCAATCATAAAATAGCTGCAGCGTGAAAGAGTAACGAATATTGAATTAGCTGAATCAGTTTATTACTAGCTTGTAAATCGTGATTTTTTAAATTATTTCTTTTTTATAGGATACGGTAACAAACGAGCACACAGTCCACCTGATGTTAAGTGGATGCTGTGGCCCATAGACATCTACATTCAATTAAGAATCAAAATACAGATGCGGACGTTTATTTTCAACAGAACACCCAACCCGCTTGTGAAGTTCGACTACGGTAAATATCCACTTTGTGAGAAGATCTGTAGGAGGCCTACATTCAGTAGAGGACTTTTGTTATTCTGTAATGGTTGGATGAACACATTTAATATAACTGAAATTTTGTAAAAGTAAAGCAGTAAAGGTCGATCGGTAGGCAAAAATGTTGTTGCCCATAAATCACATTCAATTTGGGTTAATTTCACATAAAAGTACCACGTATAAAACATTTGGGACAACAAACGAAAGTACAATGAATATTACAAAGAATAATAGTTAAAATAAAATAAAATGGCAGTTTGTACAATCAACTACGTTATCATAGCTCTCTCTCTCGTGGTAACGGAAGTCATTTTCATCAAACTCGGGAGGTGGATTGAACAGACGTGAACTCAGATGCTGCTTTATATTTATGTACATTATTTAGTAGTGTACACATTCCACAAACGCACATTGCGACGAATTCACAGTACTATCCACACCATCTTCATATTTGGCGGTCCACTACTGTGCGATTTACGAGGAATTTTCTTTTTAGCATGACATCTTATAGCACCGACAATTTTTTCAAACTGATACGACTTTGGTGCCTTCAAAAAACGAGCTTACTCCATTTTAAAAGGCCGGCAATGGATCTGCAATTGTCCCGGTTGTTCATAGGTGGCGATCGATACTTAGATACTGTTGCTTCGGAGCGGAATAATGTTAATCAGTGTGATTAATTATTAGTGTTTTAAGTTTAATTAGTGTAAAGTGAATTAAAGTGTTAATTTTGGTAATTCTATCGTCAGTTTTTATCGTCACGAACCTCAAGCTCGTAACAATACCATCAGGTGAGCCGTATGCTCGTTTGCCCCCTCTTGTGTTAAATTAAAACGTATTTTATTATTCTGGAATTATGTAATGTTTTAAGATTTTAAATAGCAGTGATTGCGTTTGATTCATTAAAGCTGACAACTTTCCCCGGGATTCATGTCCAAAGTTTCAGTAAAGAGAAAAAAAATGTTTAGACATTTAAAATTTTGATGCGTCCATAAACATTATTGTAATTTTATACTTTTTATCGATCATGTTAAAGGCTATATTTGTTAGTTTGATTTTATAGTGTTTTGGGATGTCTAAAACTTTATTACCTTTCTCTTCGAAAACACATAACACGAAAATATTATCTTAAAATGGAAGAGGTTAAAATTTATTAAAATATAGTAGTAGAAATATTAACTTTATTGAGACGTCTAAACATAATTAAAAACGTTAAACAAATGAATACTCTTTTTCAACAAGATAGGACACAAATTCTTTTGACAAATAAAATCTTTGTTAAACGAAAACATTGATCAAATCTAATTAGGTACTTTTAGTCATAGCTAGTTTATTGCAAGCGAAATTTAACCTTAATAATTTTGAGTAAGATTGATTTTAATTGGTTCAGCTACGAATACGTTTATTAATCGTTTAACGGCGCCTCTACACGTTGGCCAACACAGTGGCGAATGTAGTGGCCAATAGCATTGGCCAACGTGTAGACGGGGTGTTTGGGCTTCATTGGTATGTATTGGAACGATGGCCCGCAAGTTGGCGCGAGATCCGTGTGGTGTCGGTTTTTTACAAAAGATCAAAGGATTGTTGGCAGAGTTTGGTCGCCGCGTTCACACGTTGACCGCGTGTTTAGTTTGCTACAAGCTCCCAGAGTGATTACACGCATCTGATTTAAACTTTATATTCAAGCTTTGTAGGGTGGATGCCCCAATTAACATCCTTTTAGTGCCAATTTCAACTTTAAACATTCCTACTACTTTAATTAGCGCGATTTAATTATTATTGAACATTTTTTTACAATAAATAATAAAGTTTTTTTTATAATCGGATTATTACGAGAACAATTTTAAAATGAAAAAAAAATGAAGCACGTCGTTTTTACGTGGTAAAACCATGCAATTATATTAGATGTATAGTTGCAGCACGAAGGTCGGCTCGACCGGGGAAGGACCACGCTCTCACACAGCGTAAAATAGTAGCTTAATGATGCTGTGTTTCGTATAGTGAGTGTAGAGAACCAGAGACCCTTTTTAAAGGAAACGAGGCATTTCATCTTAGTCCTCACGGGTGACAACGCATCTGCATTTTGATTCGTAATCGAGGATAGACGTAGATGTCTATGGCCCACAGCAACCATTTACCATCAGGTGAACTGTGTGCTCGTTTGTCACCCTATCCTATAAAAAAACGTCGACTGCCTAATAATTTAATCGTGCAAGATTTCCAATCATCATCATCATTACAGCTCTTCACAAGTCCACTACTGAACATCCACCTCCACAGACTGCCGCAAAGCATGGTCCTGAGCCACTTTGCTCGTCATGAGTTTTTCATTTATGTTCTAAGTTATAATTAGTACCTATTATTAAGTCAGTGTTAATTATATTTATTGCTATTGTTTTGTCTTTCTCAA